CTGTCGAGCTTCTTTCCTGTTAGTTCAGGAGTGAGGCAAGGTTGTGTCCTTGCACCAACTCTTTTCAACACTTGCATGGACTGGACACTGGGCAGAGCTACTGTTCAAAGTCATTGTGGGGCAACGCTGGGCAATATCAAGGTTACAGACCTTGACTTTGCTAATGACGTTGCTATTCTATCTGAGTCTTTGGAAACCCTAGTGGCGGCTCTCGATGCATTTAGCAATGAAGCGAAGCCCCTGGGTCTAGAGGTCTCCTGGACCAAGACCAAGGTCCAGGAATTTGGGGACTTGATAGGAGAACCTGTTCAGTCGGTACGTGCTTGCGGCGAGGACATTGAAGTCACAGAGAGCTTTACATACCTTGGTAGTGTAGTTCATAACTTTGGGCTGTCAGACCATGAAGTCAGCAGACGGATTGGCCTGGCAGCAGGGGTCATGAACTCTCTCAACAAGAGTATTTGGAGATGTCGGTACCTGTGCAGAAGGACCAAGCTTCGGGTTTTCAAGGCCCTGATAATGCCAGTTTTGCTATACGGTAGCGAAACCTGGACATTGTCCTGTGCCTTGGAGGCTCGTCTTGAAGCCTTTTGCAATAGGTCCTTGCGCCAGATCATGGGGTACTGTTGGCGGGACCATGTGTCCAACCAACGGTTGCACCGTGAGACTGGCACAAGCCCTGTTATCTGCACAATCCGTGATCGCCAACTCAGGCTATACGGCCATCTGGCTCGCTTTCCTCAGGATGATCCTGCCCATCAGGTCGTCTCTATTCGAGACAACCCTGGGTGGAGGAGGCCTGTGGGACGACCGAGGAAGTCATGGCTTGGGCAGATCGACCAAACCTGCCGTGAAGAACTAGAGATGGGCCGAGTCCCTGCCTGGCGTCTAGCCATGAGGGATCCTCGTAGGTGGAAGCGAAGGGTGGATGCGGCTATGCGCCCCCGGCGGCGTCAGCCCCCATGATGATGATGATAAACGAGCAGACAACGGTCAGCAGCTCAAGGGGGAAAGGAGTAGCTGGAACTGTCTCATTGTTTACTTACCTTTCCTCGCCATTGTGAAATGTAACCGATGTAATATTCATATTTTTTTCTTAAAACAAAAACACGGTTTAAAGTGTAGATCTTTTATTATTTTTATCATTTATTATTTACTTGCTGAACACTATAGGCGGGAACCAAAACATAAACCAGCCAGCCCACAACACCGTAAATCTGCTTCTCTAGTACCCTGTGACGTAGCGATGAAGTAGTAATGACGGATAATTGTTTATGTATCACATACAGATATATAAAATATATTGTTCACTTTATTTGGATCTTGTACATCTCATATGAAACTTACATTAACTTATGTAGTGAAAAAATCCGAAGATTGCTAATGGTATGGAACGCTTGTTGAGAGAAAATAACAGCATAGCTAAGGATTATCATATGCAGGCGAGGTGTGACCCTCGCCTGCCTCCTTCCCAGCTCCGAGGAGCTGAAAGCGAGGCTCAATGGGTCACTCTTTTCTTTTAATTTTGTTTTTTATCATGAGCAATGCCATGAACATATACTTAGTATAGAAACAGAATAGAAACGTAAACATAAACATGAAAAGAAACAGTATAAAATATGGAGCAGAGGCATAAAGGAGATGTATAGAACACAGACATAAACATCGAAACATGGAATAGAAACATAGAAGCACATATGCTTTTTAATTTTTCAACTGCTATCCTAGTGAGAGCAAGTCTCGCTATGATAGCCCCTTGCAGGTGAGGCCCTCGCCTGTTGTTGTCAGTGAATATATTTGCATAATACTAAGCGCTAATCAAAGACTTCCCTACAGAGAAGTGTTCCACTCACAAAATAAGGGATACTATTTTCTGAAAAACAGTCCATGCACCATAGAGGTGTACCAGTTGGAAGTGTAGCAAACTTGTACATATGTATGTAAGTGAGTATGCACATCTTTGTGTTTGAAGAGGATGTAAACAAAATAGATAGAGGAATTAAGATCCTACCTCCAGTCCAAGGAAATTGTCCGGAACTCTCCAATACATTAAAGCTGACACCGCTGTTTTCACCCTCTAGCAATCCTAGCAGCTGGCATGGGAGACAGACGGATAAGGATAATATGTAAGATAAAATCTATACTGTGGAAAAAATAGTAGTAATGAGAATATGTTTGTTTGTTTGTATGCGTGCGTGCGTGTGTGTGTGTGTGTGTGTGTGTGTGTGTGTGTGTGTGTGTGTGTGTGTGTGTGTGTGTGTGTGTGTGTGTGTGTGTTGTGTGGTTTTGTGTGTTTGTGTGTTTGTGTGTGTGTGTGTGTGTGTGTGTGTGTGTGTGTGTGTGTGTGTGGTGTGTGTGTGTGTGTGTGTGTCTGTGTGTATGAGTGTATGTGAGTGTGTTTGTGCATATATACATTTATATCATTCATATGTTTATATTTGAATGTATGTTCGTGCATGTGAGCATATATACATTCTATATTCATATGATCATGCTGTGTCGTGTATATCTGGTGTGTGTGTATGTATGTATGTGAGCAACCAAACATGCCTGATGATCTCCCAAAAATAAATAATGAAAGCACAAATATATACATATATACAGTAAATATATAATA